GGGGGGGGTCACAGGGCAGGGGGATGGGGTCCTTCATGCCCCCCCCCTCGCCCCCAGCCTCATTTCTTACCCTTACAGACGGGGCAGCACTCGCCCTCGGGGTGGAAGGGGTAGGTGCAGAAGATGGCACAGTCCACGGGCGAACAGGCCACCGAGCCCAGCTGCGAGAGATGGTCGAGGACCAGGTGTTAGCCCCCCCCTTTCCCCAGCCAAAGTGGGTTGGGGGGCACCAAAAAAAAAGAGAATGGGAAAGGGGGCAGCCCCAAAACACCCAGGAGATTTTTTTTCCTGCAACGGAGGAAAAAAAATGGGGCTCAGCCCGTGGGGCAGGAGCCCCCACCCAAAAAAGGCCCATCTCGTGGTCCCCAGCGCAGCCCTCACCAGGCAGATGCAGCTGAGACAGGGGTCCAGGACGGAGGGGAAGGTCTCGTTGTTGTAGAAGATCCTGCCCATGTAGGTGCAGCCTGGAGAGAGGTGGGGAGAAAGGGGCGTTTGTGGTCCCCCAGGGGGTTTGGGGACCTCCTGGGGAGCCCTCTGCTTAAGGCCAGGCTGGCTGGAATGGGGATGGAGAAGGGATGAGAAGGAAGAAGGGGATGGAGTAAGGATAGAAACAGGAGGATGGAGAAGACAGAGGGAGAAGGGGGGGACAGAGGGAAGATGAAAAAAGGGATGGAGAAAGGGGGATGGGATGGTGATGGAGAAGGGAAGATGAAAAAGGGGATGGAGAAAGGATAGAGACAGGGGGATGGAGAAGACAAGAGCGAGGAGGAGGGAACAGAGAAATGATGAGAGATGAAAAAAGGGATGGAGAAAGGGGAATGGGATGGGGATGGAGAAGGGAAGATGAAAAAGGGGATGGAGAAAGGATAGAGACAGGGGGATGGAGAAGACAAGAGCGAGGAGGAGGGAACAGAGAAATGATGAGAGATGAAAAAAGGGATGGAGAAAGGGGAATGGGATGGGGATGGAGAAGGGAAGATGAAAAAGGGGATGGAGAAAGGATAGAGACAGGGGGAATGGAGAAGGGAGGACGGAGAAGGCAGAGGGAGAAGTGGGGGGACAGAGAAAGGATGAAAAAGGGACTGGGATGGAGAAGGGAAGATGGAGAAGGGGATGGAGAAAGGATAGAGGTGGGGAGATGGAGAAAGGAGGATGGAGAAGGGGATGGAAAAAGGATGAAAAAGGGATTAGAATGGAGAAGGGGATGGAAAAAGGATGAAAAAGGGATTAGGATGGAGAAGGGAGGATGGAAAAGGGGATGGAGAAGAGAGTGGGATGGAGAAGAGAGCGGGATGGAGAAGAGAGTGGGATGGAGAAGAGAGCGGGATGGAGAAGAGAGTGGGATGGAGAAGAGAGCGGGATGGAGAAGAGAGTGGGATGGAGAAGAGAGCGGGATGGAGAAGAGAGTGGGATGGAGAAGAGAGCGGGATGGAGAAGAGAGTGGGATGGAGAAGAGAGCGGGATGGAGAAGAGAGTGGGATGGAGAAGAGAGCGGGATGGAGAAGAGAGTGGGATGGAGAAAGGCGGGGGACGGAGAGAGGATGAAAAACAGGATAGAAAGGGAAAGATGGAGAAGGGGGGATGGAAAGCAGATGAAAGATGGGATAGAGAAGGAAGGATGAAAGAAGGGACAGAGAAGGGAATGAGGATGGGGACAGGAGGATGTAAAAGGGGTCGGGGAGGACCCAGCCCCCCTCACCAGCCGAGCAGTCGGGGCAGCACTGCCCGGGGATGCGGATGGGGTAGGGACAGGTCTCCACACAGTCCGTCCTCTTGCAGCTCACCGAGCCGTCTGCCTGCGGGGGAGAAGCACTTGCCAGAGACCTCGGGCTGGCCAAAATGGCCAAATTTAAAGCCCGAGGAAGCCACCGGGGAGCAGGGCCACCACCAGCAGCAGCAGCAGCCCCAGCGTCCCCAAGGGCAGGAGGGGGACAGGAGCCGTGGAGCAGAGCAGGTTCTCATTCACCTGGCAGATGCATAACTCACAGGGATCGCCCGGAGACCAGATCTGTCCGATGGGAAACTCCACCCCGTTGTCATCCACGAAGCAACCTGGGGTTGTGGGGGGGACACGGGGAAGGGGGGGGACAACAAATCGTATGAGGAGTGGCTGAGGGAGTTGGGGCTGTTTAGTGTGAGGAAGAGGAGGCTGAGGGGAGACCTCATCACCCTCTACAACTACTTGAAAGGACACTGTAGAGAGGTTGGTGCTGGTCTCTTCTCACAGGAGCTGCCTGGAGGAAAGAGACCTGGGGGTTCGAGTTGCCAAA